CATTTTTGGGGCATGTTATTTCGAGGGATGGTGTTTCGGTCGACCCATCAAAAGTGAGCGCTATTGAAAATTGGCCCCGACCAAAGACGCAGACAGAGATTAGAAGCTTTTTGGGGTTTGCCGGGTATTATCGGAGGTTTGTGCAAGACTTTGCACGATTGGCAAGTCCATTGACATCGTTGTTGAAGAAAAATGTCAGAGTAGTGTGGAGCGAATCATGTGAACAAGCTTTTCAAGAGTTGAAACGGAGGTTGACAGTTGCACCGGTATTGGCATTGCCAATAGATGGCTGAGAGTTCGATGTGTATTGTGATGCGTCAAGACGAAGATTGGTGTGTGTGTTGATGCAAGATGGAAGGGTGATAGCATATGCTTCGAGGCAACTTAAATCGCATGAAGAGAACTATCCAACTCACGACTTGGAAATGGCGGCTGTCGTGTTTGCTCTCAAGATATGGCGACATTACCTTTACGGAGTTCATTGCAAGATTTACACCGATCATAAGAGTTTGAAATACATATTCACTCAAAGAGAGTTGAATCTGAGACAACGGAGGTGGTTGGAATTAGTAAAGGACTATGACTTGGATATTTTATATCAGGAAGGCAAGGCGAATGTAGTTGCTGATGCTTTGAGTCGGAAGTCAAGTCATGACGTATGTTCGATGACATACCTGTAGAGTTGTGTCATGAGTTCGAGAATCTACAAATTGAGGTAGTGGGTCCTAAGATGATTGAAGGATATATGGGTGCCTTGTCAGTTGAGCCCGAGATTTTGAGGGAGATTCGGGAGGCTTAGGTTGATGACGATGATTTACTCAACTTAGCGATAAAGGTGCAACAAGGTGAAATAAGCGAATTCCATATTGGTCGGGATGGAAGCATAAGATTTCGAGACAGATGGTGTGTGCCCAAGGATCGGTTGGATATTAAGGAAAGGATACTTAAAGAAGCTCATAGTTCTCCATATTCAGTGTATCCTGGTTGTGATAAGATGTATAAAGATTTGAAAGGACATTTTTGGTGGCGCGGTATGAAAAGGGACATTGCAGAGTATGTCGCCAAGTGTTTGATTTGCCAAAAGGTCAAGGCGGAGCATAAGAGACCTATGGGTTTGTTGAGACCGTTGGAAGTTCCGGAATGGAAGTGGGACTCGATTATGGATTTTGTGACCGGATTACCAAAGTTGAGATCGAGCGCGGATGCCATTTGGGTAGTTGTTGATCGATTGACTAAGGCAGCAGTTTTTATTCCGATAAACATGACTTGGAGCATGCAGAAGTTGGCAAGGTTGTATATCCATCACGTGGTGAAGAGGTATGGAGTTCCGGAGGTGATTGTCTCGGACCGCGACCCCCGTTTTCAGTCGCATTTTTAGCAAAAGCTTCAGAAAGAGTTCGGTACTCGGTTAAGGATGAGTACGGCCTTTCATCCGATGACTGATGGGCAGACTGAACGCACCATTCAGATTTTGGAAGATATGTTGCGAGCTTGTGCATTGGATTCTCAAGGCCGATGGGAGGATCAGTTGGCTCTAGTAGAGTTCTCCTACAATAATAGCCATCAAACGACCATTGGGATGGCACCCTTTGAGGCTTTGTATGGGAGGAAGTGTAGAATGCCATTGTGTTGGAGTGACCTAAGCGAAAGGGTTGTATTGGGCCCCGAAATGATTGAGGAGATGATGAATCAGATTCGTAACATCAAGGCTAAGATGAAAGCCGCCCAAGATCGCCAGAAGAGTTATGCCGACCTTGCTTGGAGGGACGGGCATTTTAGGGTGGGTGATCATGTATTACTTAAGGTCTCACCGACGAAGGGTGTGAGGAGATTTGGTATTAAGGGAAAGTTGAGCCCGAGGTATGTAGGGCCGTACGAGATCATCGAAAGGATTGGAGAGGTGGCCTACAGGTTGGCCTTGCCGGAGACATTGAAAAGGGTTCACGATGTTTTTCATGTCTCTCAATTGAGGAGATACGTGGCTGACCCATCTCATATACTTCAGCCGGAAGTCTTGGATCTTCAGGAGGATTTGGTGTACTCAGAGCAACCTATTCAGATTGTGGCTTTCAAAGTTAGATCGATGCAGAACCGTGCGATAAGGATGGTGAAGGTAGTGTGGTCGCGGCATGGGGTTGAAGAAGCGACATAGGAAACCGAGCAAAAAATGCGAGGAAAGTATCCAGAGTTGTTTGAGGTAGCTCCGGGCGTGCAGATCGATTTCGAGGACGAAATGTCCTAAGGGGGGAATGATGTAATACCCTGTAAAATAATCGCCGGAAGTTTGCCGGAGTCGAACAAATTTCATTTTGGGCATAATTTATTTTGGTCTTTTAGTGTAATTAATTAAAGAGTTGGGTTTAAATTAGAATTAAAAATTTTGGACCAAAGTAGAATAAAATAATTAATAAAGGACTAAGTATGTTATGTTAAATAAAAGAATAAAATAAAATAAAAAAAAAAAAGAGAAGGAGCAGTAGCAGCCAGCACGCCAGCCAGCGCCGCCGCCAATCCCCTGCTCTCCCTTGGAGTTCTTCTCCAAAATTCTTCATTTTGGTCTTTTCTCTTGAGGTAAGTGAGATTAATCTTAGATAGATTCGCATGTTTTAATCCCTAAACCCCTTATATTGATATATTTTTCAATATTCTTGTCAAATGGATTTGCCCCAAAAGTGTTAGGTTTTGCCAATTTCTTCTAGAAAGTTGATTATAATATTTATGTGAAGATTATTATTGGATTCTAAATTGAAAAGTGTAGAATTTATGGGATGGGTTTGAAACCCTAGTTTTGCCCTAACCTAGTTATGGTTTTTGGAAAAATATTTACGATTATATTTAAATATTATGATTTTTGGAGTTACACCATGCCTATTGTGATTGAAATATTTTTCGATTGTTTACTTGGCGAAATAAAGTGTGTTTATGATGAACTTGTTGGGTCTAATATCCTACTTTGCATGGTTAAATGTTGACAATTGGAATATTTTGAGTGTAAGACACTTTTTGTGAAATTTGCCTAAGAGCATGTTGAGTATTTGGTCAAATTGGTAATTGAAACTACCCGTCGAGTCCGATCAACTCGTTGATTGTTTGGATGATAAGGCATAGCCTTCCACCTCTGTGCCTTGCAAACACGTGAGGGTATACCGGTATTTTAGGATAACTAGCTAACCTTGAACTAGATCCCGAATGGGCTAGGTCGAGGGATCGAGATGGCGGGTTCCCTTTTTGGGTGATTCCGAGGTGCCCGTCATTCACGATGGAAAGGTCTTTAGACCGTCATCCGTGATGGAGGGTTGGATTGCGTACAATCCCCTCTTGGTATGTTATATTGAAGACTAGAGGGTTGTGGGCCGTATGACGTCCCTCGCCAACTAATAATAAATTGATTTACGTGTACTTTGGAGTTCGAACCCTTATGTACACATTGTGGAGTTTCCTTTGAGGGTTATGACCCTATGTTTGTTATGTGAAATTATGTGACGTGTCATACGAAGTAATAAGGTTGGAAAACCGGGTCGAGCCGGCCCTGATTAAGGCCTAGTGGAGTTTTCTACGTGATGTGCTCATCGCTATTATTTGAGAATGAAAATGAGGTATAAGGGCGGCGTTAAAAGACTCGTGTGTGTGAGTTCCCCTTATGTGATACGTGACATTTTATTCGACTATCTTCTTCAAATGATTTTGTGGCATTATATCGTATTAATTTATCTTCGATTAATTGCGCTTACTCAACCGTTGTGTTGACTCCCTTCTTAGGATTCTTTTTGTAGGTGATCATGCTTCCGTTATGCCTAAGTGATGCATTCACGTCATATGATCCATCGGGGGAAATGAGAACTACCTTAACGTCTAAAATGTTTTGGAACTCATTAATTGTGTTTAAAGACTAATGCAATTTGAGCTATTTCTAATTTATGCTTTTAAATTGAACTTTATTTACTTAATTGATAAACTAGTACGCTTTAATTCTAAGTCCCTATTAGTTGTTGGTATTTATTATTTAAGCCTTAGCGCCACAACGTAGGACTCGTTGATTGATGAACGAGCCTTCCGGTATGGCGTGGCGGTGACGCTTTAGTTTGAGCCGGCCGGGGTGTTACAGACACAGTATGGTATTTTAGGTAGTAAAAATTAGTAAGTTATTAATAATAAATTATAATATTATTTTATTATTTTTTTATATCAATAGTATTGTTGGTAGGATTATATCTCATGCAATATGATATCAATTTATAGATAACAAAATATTATATAATACAAATAAATATATAAAATATCGTTATTTTATTTATAATTAACTTAAAACTAATTTTAAAAAAATGAGATGTTTTAAATATAGATAAAAATATTTGTTTATTGAGGAGGTATATATAAATAAATAGATTTTGAACGGATCTTACGTGTAAGAAATTAAAAATTTTAATCAAATTGATTTATATTTATTAAATATATTTAAAATGAATAAATTTACTACACATAGACAAATGGTCATCTTTGATGAACGAACGACAAAAGAGAAGATCATTTGTGACGTACCGAGGGGTATTTTTCAATTTGGTGAAGTGCATTTTTGTGTCTATTTACGAAGTTTGTGTGTGCACAAGCGTTTTATATATACATATTTATACATTTTAGGTAAAGTGTGTGTTTGTTCAATTATTTTTGTGTGTACTATTTTAAAAAATAATAATAATTTAACACAATCATGTTAGTTGTTTCCAATCCTTTGATCGACACAACACGTCAGTCAACATACACGAGTACGTGATCAACATAATTGAATTTATTTTAAGCAAACCATATATACGAAGAAAATATATATATACATATACACATATATACACATATAGAAAACTTTTGTGTTTAGAAAATTTAGAAATAAATATAATAAATAAAATTTTTAAAATTATTTTATAAACGATATAGTATATTTTTATTAGAATCCACCATCTAAAGCAATGATGATTAGTATCTGTAATGGAAATGGAAGCAACGTGAATCTTGCCCATATTCTAACATCTAGAATTTTGGTTGAGCAGTAGAGCGGTTTCAATTAGCCTAATTGGCGAAGCAATAATAGTTTTGGATATCACAAAATACCAATTAGGGACAGACGACAGTTTAAGCATACGAGACAGAGAGTGATTATTAGTCACCTAAAAGTTTAGTTTAGTTTAGGTGACGAAGAGGAATCTCATATCAGCTTCTGTAAGCTTCGAGATTGCCTCAGAAGATCCCCCAACAGTCCTGCAAACATAACCATGTCCAAAAACTTAGTGTTAATAATTTTGCAAAATTTTGGGAATAGATGCAATGCATACATACCCTTCAAACACCAGTTCTTTCTTTTCCTGCAGCTTCAGTATCCTCTCCTCAATCGTGTCTTCAATGATGAATCGAACAACCCTACGCAGGCACAATATTTTGAAAAGAAAGAGAGAGGGGACAAATTCAGTAAGAATATATGTATATGCATCACCTAGTTACGTCCAACTGGAAAGTGATTCATACCTGATCGGCTTATATTGCCCTATTCGATGAATTCGATCCTGAGCCTGTCGCTCCACAGCAGGGTTCCACCATGGATCCATTAAGAAAACCTGCAAAATCATATCCCTTCAGATATCAGTTCAATCTAGTTAATTGATAGTCAATCAAACAAGAACTTCTCTGACAAAACTAAGGCAAGAAACGAGCTGCAGATGGTCAATCATCTTTCAATAATATACATCCACCATACTTGATTTATGATTAACAATGGGATAGTGTAAAACACAATTCTTACATTGGAGGCAACAGTGAGATTCAGGGCAACGCCACCGGCTTTCAAGCTCATAAGGAAGATTCTGCAATTAGGATCCTCAGTAAATTTTTTAATAGCAGCATCTCTTGCAGCCATTGTCATGGATCCATCCAATTGCACGCAGTTCACTTCAGACTGAAGAGACAAACATCACTATACAGTTCTTATTTGTCACAATACAAAAGTAAAACACAGATTCTCGAATCAGATGTTGTACCTTGATAAGGGAAAAATGTATGAGATCCAGAAAAGATGAGAATTGGCTGAAGACAATCCCCTTTGCAGAACCATCCCTTTCGACCATAAACCTAATTTCCTCCCTCTGTTACTCAGAAAAACTCAAACATGAACATAGGCAAAAATATCATCAAAGATGGATAACCAAATGGCATTATGCATGTTGGACCTCCTTATGGTCAAGTTTGGAGAGGGTATTTTATATTGAGCATACCAAAGCATCAATTTTTGTACTTGTCTGAAAGTTATCCAGATGAATCCTGTTCAAAATGCTTGAAGGTCTGAATCCTTTAATAGCAGATTTTGAGCTTGGCTCTTTCCCATCTTTGGAGGTGAAATCAACAGTAAGCGGCTTTGAACACGACGGGCAGGAATTTTGTCCCATGGCGGTAGTAATATCAATCAAACAACTTTTGCAGAAGACATGCCCACATGCAGTCACCTAAAGTGGCCACCAAAAGGATAATCAAAAGCCAATGTCTAAACAAGAATAAGGTGTAAGTTACTAATAATCAATAAAGCTACTGTTCATATTGATCTCAGAAACACTCGGTACCACATGGTGGCAGATACAAAATGCCAAAGATTGGAGTATAGGCCATCAAACAAGTGTATGTGAAACATTAATAAATCATAAATAAACTCAATGGCAATCAAGTGCATAGATATAAATGCAAAGTAGCATACCAAAAGTCAAGGAAAAAGATTCTCCCGAGAGAAACCAACAGACTAACAGAGCAAGCGGTATTTGTGCATTTAATTTTTTTGACAGTAGAAAACTGACCACAGTATCCTCCCCAGGGTCCTGGCATAAACTACATATTTGATCGTTGTCGGTCTCAACTGTTTTGCCCTTTCTTTCCATTGCTGAAACCGAATATTCCACCAGGTAAGGATGATCAACTGCCTGTATCATTGAAATTTGAAAGAGATACAAATTAGACATTGACACATCAGGAAACAGACTAATTGAGGCATCAAAACCAAAAATGCTATGAGCTTTAAATTACTACTTCCATTCTTTCTAGATTTTTGAGTAATAGCAACTATATAACAAATCCTAATTCTGCCTAAGTCTTAACAGATATTCATAGTAAACCACACATTAGAAATTAACAGCTTGATCTTATCATGTAGGATGAATACACAACCTGACGAAGGCGTGTCAAAAGGTCAAATATGTGAGCATAGTTATTTGACACTGTTCCAGCTTCAACATATCTGCATGTAGAAGCAACTACTATTATGTTAAAGAAAATCACCATATATATCATGACTCAGATATAATGTCAGTCCACTTTACAACTTCCAGGGAAGAAACAAAACTGCATAACTCGAATTTTTCGTGTAATTGAAATTTTAAGAGAACGGAGAAGTAGATGGCATACGTATTAAACTGTGTCTGACTTTCGTTGTAGAGTGCTGTATAATAGTCTTCTTCAACAACATCCAGAGTATCCCGTCTCAAAGTCACCTGAATTTAGATAAATCAATGTATTTCTTAAATAAAACGCAAACCAAATGTTCGATTAGACTAGCATAATAAAGGCATACAATTCTCGGTGGTAATGCAAGATCAGCAGCCCTTCCCCTTTTGGTACGTCTCAGCACAACACTTTTCAAAAGCTTGTGCTTTAATAAAAGCATAGCTCCTTTACCAAACCCATATGCCCCGTGATCTTGTATTGGCGAGGCAATGTACTGAAAATGGAAATTTAATATTTTCAAGGTTACACCCTATGTTATATACAAATGACTGAAAAGGATAAGTCCAACTAAAGAACTAACTACTGGTTGTCACTTACTTTATTCCACCAACAAAAGTGTCGAACACTTTTATGGACACAACCTGGACAGTCTCCTGAGGGACTGCATTTTAGATAAGATTCAGTAATTTGGGCAGTTGCACTCGATAGAAGACACAGGGAGCAGAGAATGAGAGCTAAGAGGAAGGGGCTGGACAGCTACCAATAATAAAGAATGCAGACAGATGAATACTAATTAAAAACTCTGAAATAATACAGGAAGACTTTAAGAACTGGATGACATAAATAAGGAATTAGTTGGTCAGAAGAGGGAAGCAGATGGTACATAGTAAGCAGATATTTCAAAACATTCACCAGGAGAGTCTGCAAACAGACCTCAATGTAAAATTTACCAAAGAAGGAAAATACTACAAATAAAGATTGAGCTATGATTTCACAAATACTAAAATTTTAAGAAATAATGATGAAAACCCTAGCTGTGCAAGTGTTGAATCCACCTAAATTCAAGATATATATCTATATATTTTTTCATAGCATCATAATGGCAGGTCTTACTGGTATGAAACACAACTTGAAAACCACAATCAGAAAGCTTTAATTAAACCTATAATCAAGTTGGCGGCAATCACAATCCTTGCAAAAATAATACGAGTATGGAACCATCTGCAGAAAGCGGATCTGCACAAACCACAATTATCTTATTAGGAACAACAAAATAACAGGCAAGATAACCGCATCAACTATAACTCACGAGTGAATAGAGCTCTCCAACACGATTCTGAATGGGAGTGCCGCTTAAAGCCCATTTATATGAAGATTGTAAAGCAAGAACAGCTTTAGCAGTGTTGCTACGCCTTTCCTTTATATAATGAGCCTGAATAAGAAAATACTGAGTCCACACGGAAGCAGTAGCTTACATGACAGAAAATAAAAAAATAAGAAAATTAAATGAGATTGGAATGTCAAAAATAAAAACTGCACTAAAATCCAGATATCAGGGTGTGTTTGTTTGTAGGTTTGGATTTTTGAATAGTAAAAAGTTGAATTTGAATAGTTGTAATGTGATATAAATAGGAATTGACATGATGTTTTGAATGTAAAATAAATTTGTAGTATAATATAAAAAGAAATAAATAATTGTTTGACTTGATAATTTTTTAAGAAAAAAAAAAGAATTTGCATTGTAAAAATTTGTGGTAAACCCCACAAAAGAACACAACCATGCATGAGATTTGAGGGAACTTTCCATTTCACCAGAGAAGGCATTCAAAAAGAGGAAAGATATACAATTAACACATGCAGGGCTACTGAGAGAAGAACAGAAACAAGCACACAGAGACTTTGAAAGAGGTGCCTCACCATGTTTCCCATGTCTCTGCTATAACAAAATTGACAAATAGCTTTAAATCGACTTTTGCTGAGGCCAAAATCCCACCTCATTTGGAAGGTGTTGAGAGTCCAAAAATCACACATCTTATGTAAAGGAAGAAAGGTGGGGGAAGAAAGGTGGTGTTGAGAGTCCAAAAATCACACATCTCATGTAAGGGAAGAAAGGTGGAAATGTTCGAGATTAATGACAGGTAGATTTCAAAAAATATTAGATATTTATATTATGCATTATGGTTCAATAGTTTATGGTAGGGATAAAATTACTCAGTCCCACTGACTTATTTAAGTAAATACTTTTAGTCCTACTTTAAATTTTCTCTCATAACCGGTACCCCATGCAATACAACTGTGCTTGACATAAATACAGCTTATAAAACTGGCGATAGTATGCATTACAGTTCAATAGTTTATAGTAGGGATAAAATTACTCAGCCCCACTTACTTATTTAAGTAATACTTTTAGTCCTACTTTAATTTTTCTCATAACAGGTACCCCAGGTAACAAAATTGTGCTAGACATAAATACAGCTTATAAAACAGGCATGTTTGGGTACCACTCATCCTTGATCCTTATTTGCTTCAGAATTTGCTAGATGGAAACTTTCCAAAGGGGATGTGATAGAGAACAAACTTGCTAGATGGGCAAGGGCTGCAAGAAGACAACGAGGTGTGTTTGCAAGGAGGAGAACCCCGTCGTTTGCTGGTGTACCGCCGACGCCAATGAACTTAATTTAGGAGTTGAATAATCATGAAACCTTAATTGCTCTATTTATTACCCTTAGAGAGATTTAGGGGCTTAAATAAGTCTAAGGAATCAATAAGCATTGATGAGGAGATAATTACGGAAGTAGATTATGAATACTGTTGATGAAGGAGGATTGGGAAGGGAAGATATGATATTAATATATATGTATTAAGATAGAGGAGAAAGGGAAGATTGAGATAAGATTTAAGCCATAGGCTGGAATAAAGTAGTAATATTCAGATTCCTTCAAAAATTAATTTAGCAATTTGGTCCGACTTGCCGGATTCTATACTGCGGTCGCCATCACCATGACCCGATCCACCATCGATCAACGAATGGAGAAATTAGAGCTTGATCAGGCTGATCTAAGAGGGGAAAATTGGCGCAGTCAGTGTTAGCGGCTTATCCACCACCATCGAAATCGCCAGAGAAGACCATGGAAGAAGGGGAAAATTCGAATAGACCTCTTGTGGTGGATCAACCAGATCACCATCAAGTTACGCCGACCCTAGCATTGCCAGCTTTTGAAGGGACTGATCCGATAGGTTGGTTAGCCCGAGCCAACCAACAGTTTGTAATTCATCAAACCCGACCTGACTTGAAGGTGCCGTCGGCTTTGGTGACTATAGAGGGCGCTGCCTTGTATTGGTTCTCTTGGATTCGTTCTCAAAAGACTAGAATTACATGGGAGGAACTGTCATAAGCTCTTACGGCTCGCTTTGACACGAGGTTTAAAGGGAGTCCTTATGTCACGGATCGCCTGGTTGTTCCTCAAACACCGTCTGTGCGGCCTAGCAACTTCCGGACACTTAGAGATTGCTAGTACAACCTTTCCTCGAACACCTTCAAGAATACTCAAGAACACGATTAATAGCACTCGAGAATCGTAGAGAGAGGAAGTAGTGAGGGAAGGTATATGTTATTGTTCTCAACTTGATGATTTACAAATGAGCACTACCACCTATTTATACAAGTTCATAATCTCCCAACTATCATCTACCAACCCCCACCAACCATCTCCCACCAACTATCCACCAACCCCCACCAACTATCTACCAACCTCACCTACCAACCCCCAACTACTCCATACAAGTTCTAGTTTTATTTACAAAGTCTCGGACTAGCCTCCGAGTTTTGGCTTCTTCTCTCGGTCATCCTCGGTCACGTATTTCGGTCCGTGACATTCTCCCCCACTTGATGAAGGCATTGTCCTCGATGCCTCGAATTCATGTACCAAGTCTTTGAATTGCCAACGTTTCTCATCCGGCTTCCAACTCGTCTCAGTCTCGGGCAAGCCTCGCCATCGAAGACGGATGTTTCTTGTGGCACCTTAGTCAATCCATCAATATTTCCTCGGCTATTTTGTCATACGTTGCCTGCATCCCGGGTGGTGCTCTTGTCGATATATTCCGATCTGAGTCCCGATCTTTCGTATAGTCAGGCTCGAGAATACCAGCATAGAATACCGGGTGGAGTTGGGACAAGCCCTCGGGTAGCTCCACCTTGTATTTCACCTTGCCTTCTTTCTTCATGATCGGGAACGGGCCTTCATATCGTCTCGTTGACCCCTTGTGCACTTCTAGTATACGCCCCTATTGGTATAATTGTACCAACGGTAAGTCTCTCTTTTTAGATTTTTGAAACCCACGCTTTCAATCCCCCCTTTTGTATCTTTGGGATTTCTCTGAATATAGCCGTGCCACCTTCGCCCGACCCAAGCAAAGTGGAACACCCGCGGACTCGGTCCTTTGTACGTCCTCACCAAGTCTCTCGAAGTCATTGGTTGGAAACCGGGCATAATCTTGAATGGGCTCTTCTCGGTACTCTCGTCTTTCTCCATAGTTGACTTGGGCGTCTCCCATTCTATGATCGTCTTGACCTCCTCTGACTCCATTTGAATTCTTCCATCGGCCACGATGTATCCTGAGATTCCGACCTCGTCTATCTCAAACTCTCTTCGGACATAGAGTTGATTTTCTTGTATAACTCGCAACACATTCCGCAAGTGTCTAACATGGTCTACCACACTCCAACTCGTAGTGATTGCCGTCTTTAATTCATCGCCTTCTCGAATTGTCAACTTGTTCTGCACCCCGAGGTTATTACACTTGAGGGGACTCTCATCTTTCTCCCATTGAAAGAACACCGGTGTACCTAAAAAGCTCTTTGACGGGACAACGAACTTTGTTTCCAAAGGTTTCCCAATTTGTTTCTCCAACTCGATTGTTTCGTCAAGCAACACCCGATGTGGCAGTCAAGACACTGGTTTTGCACTTTCCACTAAGTCGATGGCGGGGTCAACCGCTTGTCGAGGTGGTAATCCCTTCGTTAACACATTTGCCGTCACATCTTTGAATTCCTTCGGTGGGGTAATAGCCTCCTCGACCTCGTCACCAAGGAGGTCCTCGTTGCTAAAAATTGCCGCAAACGTTGGATCTTCTTTCCTCAATCCTCTTTCGAGTTGCTTTGGCGTCAACTCCTTCTCCCGGTATACAGTGATATCGCACGGCATGCTTCCATCCATAATAGTGTATGTCCTTGTGCGGTATCATTGCTAACTTGGTTTGCTCGACAAATCTCATGCCAAAGAACACCAAATAATCATCAATAGGGGCAACATTGAAATTAACCATACCTTTCCAATCTCTGACTTGAATCGGTACGTCCTTTGCCACTCCCGTCAAAGGTGTCCATGCACTATTTACTCACTTGAATCGACCCTCCGTTGACACCCATTGCAACCCCAACTCATGAGCTATTTCTTTGCTCATGTAATTCGCATTTGTCCCCGGGTCGTGTAAACACAAGTACGAGCACCCATTGATGTCGACATTCATGTACATCCGTCCTTGATGTTTTTCACCATCACCTTCTGCTTTCATGCACGCCACTCGTTCTTCCATCGGATTAGTGTCCTCGGTCACCGCGGCAATGTTTGATCGGCTCGGACAATCCCTTGCAAAATGTTCTTTTGATTGACAAACAAAGCAACCCTCATACCTCAATCCCGGTTTGGAGAAATCTCTCATTGCAGCCCTAGGTGCTTGACGTTCTCTTTCGGGTCGTGGGGCGAATCTTGGCGCATCTCCCCCACTTTTGTCCGGCCGTGGGGCGAATCTCGACGTATCTTTCCCACTTTTGTCCGATGTCGTTCTCCACCCGTCATCTCTCCTATGTGGTTCCCTCCGTTGAAATTCAATCAATCGTGAAGCATATTTCATTGCTTCATTCACAGTTTCCGGGCACTTATCCACAACCCGCTGCTTGGCCCACGGCCTCAATCCTTCGGTAAACCCGAATAATGCTTCTTCTAGCGTCATCGATTGAATTTCGAGTAGTAAGTTGGCATATTCATCAATATACTCTCTCAAATGTCCTTCACGGTGTGTCAACCAACAGATCTTGGCCCTCGCCTCGATCTCAGCCCTCATTGGTTCGAATTCCGCCTTGAGTTTGGACTTAAACGTTGCTCATGTCGTGATCGCCTCACCATTTTGGGCTAGTTCGCTCATACGCCTCCACCAAATTAGTGCCGAGTTCTTCAAGAAACACGACCCTGTGTACACCTTGGCTGCATCTCCCACGACCCCTACAGCATTAAAGTAACGTTCCATGTCGAAAATAAACATATCAATTACCCGACCTCTCCGAACTCCTGAGTAGTACTCCGAACGTGGCACCTCCACTCTAGGTGCGGCCGCTACTCTTCCGGTTGGGCCACGAGCTTGCAATTCCGCAAT